TTTATAATCTTGTTTTGTATCTGACAATGTTCATATTTTATTATCTTTTTTATATCATTAATCATGTTGCTAATTATTATCTCATTTGATTATTGAATTTGGAGATGATAAAACAATTGATTTATCAGTTGCATCAAAATTTTCAAAATTAAACAAAATATTAACTGGTAAAATCTTATTTTTTTAAACATTGATTTTATATTTTAATTAATTATTAATTTAATATTAATTGTGTATATATATTTATTTATATATAAAAGATGCTATATAAATAATAAACTATTTATTGTCACTAATAAAAGCTTGCAACATTTACTAATAAATAAAAATCCAATTTTTAAAAAAATAGAATTATTTTTTTAAAAAAGTTTTTTTGAATTGCAATTTTTTTTAAATATAGAATTATTTGTAATTTTACAAAAAAAAATGTTTTCTGACAATTTTTCACATGGTCTTTTTTATTTAATGGTTGCAACAATATTGTGCTTTTATTACTAGTTGGGCTCATATTCTTCAAGGTTAAATTTGGTTTATAAAATTTTTTATTAAAATTTTGATATATGTATTGTTATCATTTTATTACAAAATCAAAAAGATCCACCTGATGTGATTTTAGGCTTATAAAAAAGATACCAATTCCAAAAACATGAATTTGGGAGTTGGTGCCTATAGAGATGACCATATGTTTTGAATTCTGTCAGAAAGGTTCAATTAAATTAAATTAAAATATTTAATCTCCATTGATGAAATTAATGTGTCAAAAAAAAATTGATTTATTATTTATTATTTAAAGGGAGAAAAAAATTACTTGATCAACTTGATAAGGATATTTTCAAATTACCAGTCTTTCTAGTTTACTCAAGGTGCAGCTCTTTTGGCTTACAGTAAAGATTCTGAACCTTTAAAAATGGATTAGTAAGCTGATGAACTTTTGCTAATAAGAGGTTTCTTTTTAATAAGTATAATCAACTAAAACACATTTTCTTTATAGATTTCAATCACTCAATCAATTTCAGGAATAGGAGGAGCTCTTAGAATTAGAGGTGTGTTTTTATCTAGATATTATCCATATGCTAAAAAAATCTATTCACCTAAACCAACATGGGGCAATCATAATGCTGTATTTAAAGATTACAGTTTAGAAATAGATTCATACAGATATTATGATAAAACCAATGGATTTAATTTTAATGGATTGCTAGGTATTAATTAATTAATCAATAATAAGAACATGTTTCTTTATTATTTTTTGTTGATTATTTAATTATTACTAATAATAATAATAACATGTATGATTAGAATGCACCAAAAAACTCAACATTTTTGTTACATGCCTGTGCACAGGAGTAGATCCAACCCAACAACAATGGTAAAATTATAAAATTGCCTAAACTATATGGGACATGCTGCCAGACAAAGTGAACATTGGTATTACCAAAGATTTCAGGGATCAATAGTGTTTGTTTAACATAACAATTGTACAATTCAATCTCTCTATAACGGCCCGCCTGATTTGGCAAAAAAGGCCGTTATAGAGAGAGACTGTTATAGAGAGTTTGCAGATCATAGTCATGTGATAAATTATAATGTGATACAATATAAAGATTTTATTTTATAAAATATATTTAAAAATAAACTATTTATAATTTGCATACTTATTCAATGTTAAAAAGGCTATATAGTGTGGATTGTTGTTGTGAGTTAAAATCCATTTTTTTAATTTTTCTTTTAATAATTTAAAATCGTCCTCATTTAATTCTGATTGTTGGTCATGTAAATTTCTAATGTTGTTTTTATTGCTGACAAGACTTCTTTATTTGTAACAGGTGGAAGTTCTTTGATTATTTCTTCCTGGCTTTCATTTTCCTCTGGTGGATTAATTATTGTAACTATGTCATTTAGATTTATTTCATCACTTACATGAGAGTCATCAATTTCAATGTATTCAGATGTGGATATAGGATTAGGGAGTGCAAGAGCTCTCTTACATTCAATGAATTTAAAATTGATGACATATTTTCAATTTTGTTGGAATTAATATCATAATCAGGTAAAATCCCAGTTTTTTTCCAGCAGTTAACTATAGTTTGACTGGTACCTTTTTTCCAAGCTTTTGCTGTAAATTTAATTGCATGTTTAATTGAAATTTATTCATATTTTTGACCATTTCTCTCTTCTACATAATCACTAATTTTTTTTTTGCAAGAAAAGCTTTTTGTAGTTCACCTTGAAGCTGTTAATTATCCCGGCATCACATGGTTGTAAAAATGTTGTTGTGTTTGGTGGTAAGAAGTAAACTCTTACATTAGTTTAAATTTGTTGATTCAGAAATAGAATGAGTGGGAGCATTGTGACTGACAATAAGCGCGTTCAAATTATTAATAATTGAGTGTGACACACTGAATTTCTTAATTGATAATGATTACCTCAGATCATGATCGTCGGCCGTTATAGACAACATATAAAACATATGAGAGAATTTTCAGAGGCTGGCCGTTATAGGAAATTTAATTAAGAAAACCGTTATATAGTAAGGTTTTTATATAGTAAAAATTTGGTTTCTGATTTACAGTGCGTTATAGAATGGAGGCCGTTATAGAGGGGACCGTTATAGAGAGAGTGAACTGTAATAATAATGGTAATTATTTTAATGAGTTGATTATGAATTTTTAAATCAATATTTATTTTAACATTAATATTCATATCACTAATTATAGCTTCACATCTAATGCGTTTAACGATATTTTAATGGGATCTATTCATTTATTTTGACATGTACTATTATTATATTTATTTTGACATTATAATATCATCATTATATTGCATGACAACGCGTTACTGATCGCTGGCTACAATATGCAAGACCTGTACCGCATAAATTTGTATAAGGATAATAGAAGTTAGAGTTCAGCTTTGGATTAACACAAGAATCTTCTCTTAGTATTAGTAGTAATGTAGTTGTTGTCATTGTAACAATAGAAATCAATATCATCCATCATCTTATGTTCATTGTATAATCATATTTAATCTTTAATAATAAACTTACACTATTATCCTGTATCCTAAGGCTTTTTTTTAACGATTTAAACTAACATTTCAGAAAGGATCTATATGCCGAACAATATCTACAGAATTTAGTTAAGCAATTTTATAAATTTTTGACTGATCACAGATATTACCTAAGTCAAGGTAAGAAAAATTAGAGAGGGGTTTGTATTGTTTGATTGGATAAATGTTGTTTGCCGAAATTGCTTTTGTATATGGAAAAAAATAATTACGGCAACCATTTCGGCTTTAATGTTTTTTATGAACATAAAATAACCATGCCATTTGATTTATTTTAGAGTACAAACAATTTCGTAACTATTAAAATTAATTACTATTAATATTAAGTAGTTTCGGACAACATCTATGAATATAATTGATTAAAAGTTAACCTAAAAAAAAAAGATTAAAGGACTATAAATAAAAAAATAATTCTTAAATACGCCAATTTTGAAGGTTAATATTGATATAAACTTTGCAACAAAAAACTTTGTGTATAAAGAAAGGTCTTAAAAGAATTTACACAGTTCAGCGACCAAGTGATTGATATCTGTGAATTTTTCGGATTTGTCATGTAAAAAGGAAATTTTTGTCCCCCCCTGGTCAAAACTCAATATCAATGATCTTTTTAAAAACCTTATTTCATCTATATCTCCAAATAATTAAAATAATTTAAATGAAGAGCAAAAAAACAGGAAATTCTAGAAGAAACCAATCAACTAAGAAACAAGGATATTCAACAAAAAGATGAAAGTTGAAACAAGATAAGGAAAATATAAGAAAATAAATAAAACATTTAGAGGATGATTATGAAAAAACTGAAAGAGGTAACAAGCAAACAATCAGCAATTAAAGAATGATGCGATTAACCTGAAAAATCAATTAGCTTTCTTAGAGAAAGAAAAAGATAACCACCCCAAAAGTGAAACTAGCAAAATAGAAATAACTAAAAAAGCCCAAATGTCAGCCAGACTAAATAATAGCTGAAGAAAATCAAATCAAATTAACCTAGATAAAACCAGAACAATTAAGTCAGGGTCAAAATGAAAATAAGATTTTAAGCTTAGCATAGCATGAATTGTATGGAGGAATATGGAGCAAGAAATGAAAATAAAATACTGTCTATTGGGGTTACTATAGCTAGTCACCAAATGCAATTCTTTTGTGATGTTATGTTCACTTTGTCTGGTTTTGTTATTTATATAAAATAATTGAAATGCAATATGATAAAACCTTTTTCATTTTTTTTATTAAAGAATTAGAAAATAAAACTGAATCTAAATTCGAAATGCACAAAAAAAAATGAAAAATAAAATTAAATGTAAATTAATTTATCAACAGCAGCTTTAAAATATTAATTGTTAACACCTTCACCCTGTGGATGTTCAGCTGGAGATAAAGGATTTTTGACAATAAATTTTACATAAAAATTCACATAAATTTGTCGCAAATTTTAGACCTGTTGGAGCTTCATAAATAATGTACAATAAGATAAAAATCCGTTTTGACTAATAACCATAAAAAATATGTGAATATTGGATATAAGATGATCATTATCATTATAATAATTGTAAAATATAATTGTAACTATATTATTATTTATTGTTGTTTTCCAATCCACCTTCCAGAAGTTTCTTAACAAAATTTCTTAAAGAATAAATAACACCATAAACCAATTTGGCTTCATCAAGGTTAATCAACCTACTCTCAGATACCATACTTGTGATGCAGTGGAAAGATTGCTTATATGATATGCAGGTGATGGATTTGATTCTCCCGATCCCTCATTATTACCACATTACTATTATTACCACTACCACCTACAACTACTATTCCAGATTTACGGTGTTGATGCCAATCATGATAATAAATACAAGTGCAATGACGGTCAAATATATACAAATTATAAATCTTAAATAAATACATTATTGTTACATGTAATCTGATACAAAAAAAGATCTGCATTTTGTTTTTTAAGATTTCTCGAAAATTTTATTCGAGTATGGTTCCTAATCCTTGTGATGAGTTTGATGCGTTGCATATAGGTGTAACATTAACTCAAAATTGGTCCGGGACCAGTTGCCCTTGTTTCTATTGATATCTTGAAGCATTATTCAGGATTATACGCTATGTGATGAATGCGTAAATTGATAGTAAACCAATAGTTATGCATAGATTTTAACAAAGTTATTAGGATATGAACAATCCTAAAATTTATTCATCTATTCTATATAGCTCTTTAGTTTCAATTATATTTAATTAAAATATTTAAAATATAAAATACCAATAATAATAATTAATTTAATTTACACAAATAAAAATAAGAATTTCACATTTGAGCAATCTTGGTCTACAATGGAATTTAAAGGAAAATTTTTTAATAATATTCAAGTCATATAAAGTTAAAATATTATTATAAGAAATACATACATACCAATACCACTTTGAAAAATAAATTACATATATTTTAATCCAATTGAATTATTTAAATAGTCACGATAATCATCTTCATATCACAGCAATTAATTATTTTTGTTTCTTTCCTGTTTTTTCAATAGATTTCATTTCTTTTTTATATTGCTTTTGAGATCGATTTCTAGTACCATTATTCCAAACTCTACCGAAATTTGGCACCCAATCCTTCCCCACAGCACTTTCTAAATATATTAATGCATGGTAAAATAAAATTTCAAAATAAAATTCAAAAAAAAAAAAAAAAAGGTTAAACAAACCTCTATCAAAATTAGCACCAACTCTATTTGGATTTAGTTTTTTCTTCTTTTCAAGCTTTTTGGCTGCTAAGAATGCATCTAATGATGGTCCTATTTCAGTTTTATTTGTGTTACCACTAAACTTCATATCATCATCATCTTGTAACCAAGGTGGGACTAATTTTAATAAAGGATCATCATTAATAATTTGTTAAAAAAAGAAGTGGAGTAAGAGTAAAAATAAGAATAAACAATATGTCTATATCTTTACCAGATCCTTCTTCAAACACATTTCCTTCACCAGGTTTAAGAGGCGGGACTTTTATACGTGTTAATTCTAAACAAAAGAGAAATAAAAAGTGTAAATACAAATATAAATAAATAATATTTATCACCTATTATTATAATTACTTTGTACAAAAATATCATCAGTTGATCTTGTTCTTCTCTTTCTTTCTCCACCACCACCATCATCATCATCTTCATCTAATATATTTGAACGATCTCTCTTTTTTTTTTTTTCTTCATTAATATTTAATTTGTTATTAATTATTGGTTTAACTGTTGAATTATTATTATTAAAATTTTCAAATTTTATTTCCATTTTATCATTTTTATCCAAAATAGAAATCTAAATATATAAATATATAATATTACAAAAGCGTTTATACATCTAATTATCATCATAATTATAAAAATAATCATACCGGTAAATCTTGAATATTTGACATAGAAAGAGACTGATTTTCAGGGCGAGATGCCGCAAGGTTTTCAAAGCTACTTGGTAAATTTACGCTAATATTATTGGATTCTTGATTTACATTGGATTTTAATTCCCTTTCTTCCTTTTTTAACTGATTTTTCTTTTGTAACTCTTTTGATCTCCTTCGAAACTGTTTAATTTACAATATAATATAATAAGATAAACCAATTTATTATTAATAATATTAATATTATTAATTTACCTTGTCAATTTCATCTTTTTTCAGTATAAAATTATTAATTAATTTACAATCTGCTTTTTGATCTTTAAAATACTTGATAACATTATCATGATGATTTTTTGTTACTATATGTTCAAATATGTGTTCACTACATAATAAAAAAACCATATTAAAATAATCAAGATTTTTTATTGTTTGTTTTGGGAAAAAGAATCAATAGTACAAACCAAATAATTTGTTTTTCGTCAACATTTTTAAAAGTTATTTCTACGTTCACTTCACAAAAAAAACACCAAAAATCAGGTTGCTTGTTAACATCATAAACAATAGTAATGTCTTTTAAAAAAATCCTGTACTTTTTATATTTCTTTTTTTTAAACAAAAGAAATAATACAATGTAAAAAGATTTATTTAATTAAAAACGTGATGATGAAAAGAAAAGATATAGTTACCGTAATTTCTTTGTTTAATATATTGAGTAAATTCCCTTGATGTAATTTTGTATATAAATGTTTTTTACCTTCAGAATTATTCCTTTTACAGATTCTACAGAAATCAAATGTCATGTTTGAGTTTGAAGTATATAGATACAACCGCGTTCAATTAAAAAAATTACATAGATTATTCTGGAAATTTTATGTTACATTAATTTGACTTGTTCTTTTTTGTCATCAACTGAAGAAAGAATCAAGAAATGCAACAAGATAATGGACATGAAGAAGATAAAGAAAATAAACAAGAAATGCAAGGTATTGTAATAACCGTATAATTCAACAACTTTTTTTATTAAAGGCGTTTAATCGACTTCATTCTTCTCTTTTTTTATTACCTTTCAGTTCCACCCTCTGAACATGAGCCAACTGCAACCATATACATTAAAAATTTTGTTCGTCCTTTAACACATACAAAAGTCCGCGAACTTTTAGAGCAATATGGCAAAATCGTATTTTTTTGGATGGATAAGATTAAATCTCATTGTTATGTAAAGGTGATTTCATTTATACATAAATATAATAAATTAAAGTTGGAAATCAGTTTTATAACAAGAATATTATTATTCTTGTTTAATTAATTAATCAATGTAGTATGATTCAATTGATTCAGCAAAATTGGCACATCAATCACTCTGGGATGTTGTTTTTCCACCTGAAACTGGCAGAAAACTTATGTTAGAATTTATAGATTTTGAAAAGGCAGAGGAATTGATTGCAGAAGAAGAAAATAAAGCATCAAACACAAATCCAAATTCGAATTCGAATTCGAATTTATCAAATTCACGCGATATACAAAGATCTGAAAGAAAAAAACCTAATGGAAATAGTGGTAAATGCAAAAAATTTTTTTGGGAATATGAAATTGAATTTATCAATGATTGATTTTCTTGTCTAATTGAAATTTTAATATTAATAAGGAACTGTTCCTAACATAAAGATAGTGTCATTAGATTCACTATTTTCAAAAACAAAAGCTACTCCTCATCTATACTATAAACCTGTGTCGTCAGAAGATGCAAAATCAAGACTTAAAGTTATGGAAAGAAGAAGGAATAGGAGAAATTCATAGATCTGATAATTGCAATAAAATTTCATCACATTTAAGAATAATTATGTTTTTCTCTCTTCTCTCTCACACAAAAGGATTTTTACAGGAGTTTTATTAACAATAATCAAACATTTGTTTCTTGAGTATTCATTCGATAATAATCTTTAATTTATATATATATATAATGTATATGTATATGTATACCGTTTTGTATTTTATATTAAATTTTATTGCTATTATTAGACATTTATCGATTTAATTCAAGCATTAAAATTTTATTTATATACATCTCTTTGGATTTGTAGGGAAAAAAGAAGGTAAATGATATATTTAATAATTTATAATAATTCATTTATTATTTTATTTGTATTTAATAAAATATTTCTTTTTAGAAAAAACTAATGGAATAAATAAAATAAATTCTGAAATAAAACTTGTCAATTGATTATTTCTTGTGTCATACCTTCCTTCTTCATTAACTTGTCATCATGATATATTAAATTTTATATATGGTAATAGAGAATTCACCAAAGGAATTAAAGTTAAATATTACTGGTGAAAAGGAAAAAACATTTTTTGTTCCTACTTAAACATTTACATTCAAGAATTTGAATATAAAAATTATGATCAAAGATCAAATAATAAAGAAATTGTGTTTGTTCAGTGTAGTTGTATAAAAATAATTCTTCCTTATTAGTCAAAATATCTATGCTGTCATTTCTCTTGGTTTTTTGAAATAGGAATATGGAATGTATTACTATAATTATCATTTTTTTTTTTGATGAGATCATCAGCTAAAGTTGTGGGCGAAACTTCAGAAATCAATCGACAGAGTTTTGACAGGTTACATAATAATTGTTTATTAAAGTTTCGACAAGTTTCGCATTTGGGGGTTTTGTCAATCATCAGAATTTTGACAAGGTATATACTAATTGTTCATTAGAGTTTCAACAAAGTTTTGACAGTCACTAAGAGGTTTCGGCAAGTAACCTTATCATTAGCATTGTAGTAAAGTCACTTTCTGCATATTTGAGAAATAGCATCCCCAATCCCTATGAACATGTTGGTAATCTGTTCCGGTTTTGCAATTGCTAGGCAGCCATTTGGCAAACTTTTAGCATCTGCTTTTTTAAATTGTTGTGACGTGAAAATAGTGGTGATGACACAATAATCATTTAGAATCTTACTCCATAACATTGATGATAGCATTCTGATTCCTTTATGCATTTGACTTTGACCTTTTTTATGGAAATAAAATCAAAACCACTATACCATTTTTCTTGTAACCTCATAATAATTTTTCAGGAATTGGTTGTTTTCCATGCTAAAAAGATTGGCTATTAATTAAATTTCTTATGATTATTTAACTAAAATGTATGCCTATCTTTCCCATTATCAAATTAAAGACATGGGATATGGATATGAGATGGGGATTGCTCCATACTCCATGGTATGGGCGAGTATATCCGTAAACAGGAGAGCTCTGGTATATAAAATATCGCGTTTTAAAGAGCAAAGGTACATGGTTGTCTTTAAATTAATTCGTGTCATGTCGATCATATATAAATATATATGCAAAATTGATTTTCTGATTTATTTTTTCCAAAAATTATTTGACAACTTTACAAATTTTTAATAAAATTGTCCTTTTATTTACTTAATTAATCCAATAAATAATTCCCATTAATCAAAAATGATCTCATAAATTAATAAAATTGGAATATCCTTTTTATTCTTTTATTTTGAATTTACTATGAAATTATCCCAATCTGTTTCAAATGAACTTATTATCAACTATGATTGCGTAGAATCATCACCATCATTAGTATTATCACTAGCAATCACTGGAAATGGATATTCGCCACCAGTACTGATACCAATTTCTTCATCTATGGTTGAACCAGGAGTTCTAATATTTAAGTAGTGTATATTATTTTCATTCATACTGTTACTCTCACTGGTATCTGAAGGATTAGTGATTCCAGGTGATATTGGAGCAAATTGGAATTTTAATATTCTGAACTTATTATTATTGCTATTATTATTATTGAGCAGATCAAAATTTCTTCCTCCTTCACTATCATCATTATTATTAATAAATGAATCTGGATATGCTCTATGCAATGCCAATTTTCTTGCCCTGACATATTCCATACCAACCAATTTCCAATCTAACAAATCTGACAATCGTTCTGTTCTGTTACGTTGATTTATACGTTGACGTCTTGTTTTCTGACAAAATTGTAACATGTAATCAACCAATTGTTGAGTTGATTCATCAGTGGATTTCATTCTTCGATCAATTATATAAATACCATAATCTGATGAATTTTCCAATATTTCATCCATGAAACATCCAAAACCCGATAAATTGGTTGTGATGGATGGGACACCCATTACTGTACATTCAGCAGGAGTGTAACCCCATGGCTCATAATAACTTGGGAACACACCTAGATGACAACCACGTACAAAATCCTCATAATCTAAGCCAATCAGAGGGTTGTTTGAAGTTAGAAATTCAGGATGAAATATAACTTTTACACGATCTTCTGGATTATTAACTAGTTCCAGACGGTGTAATTGTGTCAAGATTGGATCTGATTCAGGATCAGCAATATTATGAGTTAATATTGGTGGAGGTATGCTAGATTTTAGTGCCATAACACGACGTTTCAGTAACACCTTGTCTTCATCAGTAAATAATTCATAAGGGTCAACCACTGCATTATTGATTTCTCCTCTGTATATATATGTGTGAGTGTTGAAATAAGGACACATGCATATATCTGAATATAAATATAATAATTAAAAAGCATAAATAAATTATATATTATAAAGGTATACATACCCAGCATATCTTGCAGCTTTCTCAAATATCCTTTGACCAATTTTATCAGTAATGTCTTTTACAGTTTCTTGAAGTTGTTTTGTGACTACTTGACCTTTCAAAGCTTCAACTGCAAAAGATTGTATTTTAGTTGGCATGATAATAAATGCAACTACCGTAATTGGTGAATTGCATGCTTTTAACCTTTGATTTAATTCTTCAAAATCATGAATAAAATGAATAATTATTAAATAATTGAAATATATTCATACATATTATATGCACATATTTATATCTATAATAATAACATGGCAAGTTAATACTAACTTGCTAATGATTCAATAAACATATCAACACCCTTATTTCTGTAGTGATAACGACCAGAAATAAAAAAATACAAAGTATTGTCCAGGTCAAAATTGTAATGACCATAGAAATGACCTTTAACAAATTTATGAATTTTTTCTTTATTTCTTGCATGTAAATTTTGAAATTCATGCATTGCTGAAAATTTCACTACATTTAAACCATTTGGGAGAACTCCATCTAAACAACAAAATTTTTTACATATTATTATATATTAGAATAATTATATTGATATATATATATATATATATAATACACATTTTTTATATACCTGGTTTTCTTTTTAATAAATGTTCAGCTTCATAGGCAGTAATTTGACTGACAGTAGTGAAAACATCAGCACACTGAGCTGCAGCACGTTCAATACTATAACGATGATATATCCCACGTTTTCCAGCTTCATCCTCAACTGAAAAATTAGAGATTTCATTGTAAAAATCTACTGAACCAGAACATAAATATCTTCCTAACAAAGTTGCATGAGTGGTAAATATTGTTGTCAAATCAGTCCCACGTTTACGAATTAATGGTATAGCAACACTAGACAACCATTCATGAAAATGTGCAATTATTGCTTTGGATTTTTCTTGAGCCACAAACTAAAAAATATAAATGTGTTAAATAGTGTTGTTACTCAAATCAAAGAGTTCTCACATACACACACATGTACTTGTTTGTATACTTACATCATCTAGAAACCAAGCTACCAAATAACCAAATAATATTGAATCGTTTGTTTCTTGATCATTTGGTGGTGATGGAATACCAACATCATTCCATAAATCACTTTTCCATGAATCTAGTTTATTGGTCACTGAATTTGTGTCAAACAATAATACATGAGGAGCACCTTCAATCAACCATCTACCATACATCCATCTTACACCTTTGTTTGACATTTCATCAAGAACTCCTTTAAGATAAGGGTTTTTAATTTCTTCCACTTCCACTTCTGCAGATGCTGTCTTGATGGATAATGGACCGATCAGTGTGTACCTTTCACCATACTCGTGAACTGTCACTGGAGCCTTGGATTTAATCATAGTATAGATTGGCCCAACTATAATTATAAAGGACTATTATTGATGAAATAATAATAATCATGATATTATTATTATTACTATTACAATATTACCTTTATTGACAACTTCCCATGCAATTTCAAATAAATAAGGACTATTAATATCTCGTTGAGCCATGTTTTTAATTTTAATTTTAATTTTAATTTGTTGTTGTATATAAAAATTCAAGGAGAAAAATAAAAATTTTTTTTTAATTAAAAAAATAATTAATATTTATATAAATTTTTTTATTGTTAGAAAAATTGATGATGATGTAAAACGGCATGATATATTACTATACTAATTAGTGCATTTTCAGAAGAAGGGCACATGTCAAAACATAATTTTGACCGATTCGACATTGATAAGATAAATTGTTGATTAAAAATTCTACAAATTAAAATATTTTTTTGGTTCACACGGTTACGATTTGTATATATATAAATGGTATGATTTCACATGACATAATTATGACATGAGTTTTTTTAAATTTGGAATTATTTACTAGTGCGGATCATCTATACTCAAATATTATGTGATCCACATGTTGGATCACCGCCATTCAATTTCAGCTTTAAAAAGGGAGTCAATTCATGTCGTCTTTTTTTTTTTCATGGATTTTTAAATTGAGTTATGCTCAGAAATGTAATAATAATTTTCGTGTTACAATATTTATGTTCGTTAAACTTTTATCGTAAAGAACTTTTATTATTAATGGAATAAATAATACAAATAAATCAATATACAGTATTTTGCGAAAAAAATGATTGTCGCAATTTCGCAAAATTTGGAATCTTCAAAATGCTAAGGCTCAGCCAATTTTTTGTTTAAGTATGCTGGCCTATGGTTACTATAAGCAATTAATTGATTATAGATGATCAGTCTCGGCCAAAAATTTTCGCCCCTTTTTTATTTAAAAAAATTCGATATTAATATTAATATAATATTAATAAATGATAAAGTCGCGATAAGACTCAAGTCGGCCAACCATTCAGCTTGGGTATAATTAAATTGCATCGGTTTCACGTGATAATTTATGCACGTGACTAAGTTTTTTAAACTATGATCTTCAAAAATAATCGTACGATTTTATTTTCCCAAGAAATAAAACTTTCGATACAAATTTGTAGAATGAACTTATGATTTAATTTATATTTACATTATTGTGAGAGAGAAATAAAATTTATGGTGTGAAATTTGTACTTGTAAAGTTCATTATCATGAGAGAAATTGGATAACATTCAAAATCTATTTAACTATTTACAACAAAATCCTGATATAAAAGTAAATAGTTCAGTAATACAACATCAAATTGGAAGAAAACAAAATACTTCTCTAAAGCAATCCACCTCATATATAATTTTATACGTTGTTTATTTTGGATATTTTATGTAGATCAATTTTGATATTGTGCAGGCGACATTTGAGTTGCAGGTAAAAATTAAGACCTAATTCATCAAGATGCCGAAGCCTACCACCAATAACTTCTCACAATTTTTTAAAGATCCGTTTGTTATAAATATCAATCGTGTCAATAACACTATTATCTACTAGATTTCTTGCTACAGCAGATACAATATTTTAATTTACTTGTCTTTCTAGATCACTAATATTATCGACATTTTCTATTTTACAATTACAACTACAATCCTTTCTAATGGTTACTGTTCCTTTTCTCCTGGATTTATTTAAAAGTATTCAAGTTCACTGTCAGTATGTTCGGAATATATAAACGTCTAACAAAAGAAAAGAATAAAGATGTGTGCACTAATACAATTTAAGACAGAAAAATATGTATGTGTTTTACGAACTTTTCCAGCTTTACTCATATTACTGTTATTATATAATCTTTAAATTAATTAGAAGAAATTCGAATAAATCGTAAAATAGTTTAATAACAACAAAAAAAGTTTTAAAGTGAAAGTATTACACTACCAATATAGCTCAGTTTCATAATATGGACGTTATTGTATTAACACCCATACAATAACTATTACATATAAAGTCGGTCACATAAACTTGCCCCAGAGTGACCGACTTACTCGAATTTTACAAACTACGTTGAGAACTTTTTATTTTTGATAAACCAGCCAGGAGCTTACCACAATGAACATAGTTACTGGTGTGATGGATTTTCAAAAAAGTCAGGTGATTTTATTGTTGGTTATTAAATCCCAAAATAGCGATGATATTCTGATATTATAAAATCACATGACTCGATCACTTGTTTACAAAAACGATTATTATTTATGAAAGTAAAGTAATGCATATTTTAGAAAAAACCATTGAATATTAATAAACAATATTTACTTCGTAACAATGACCAATATGTAGGATTTTGAGTTGAAATTTCTGATGATCATAACAATGAAACGCGATAATAGACATTTGAAGAAATTTTTTTTTTGTTCAAGAAAATTGGTCGTATTCCTACTTCAGAGAATTCCTATTGATACCAGTGTATAAAGAAGTGGACATACCATCATATTACATAAGAGAGCTGAAGAGCATAGAAAAAGAGGAAGCAGCGGAAAGGATTTTTTGAGGATATATGTTTGATATATATTATTCTTAAAACATCCTAATCATTTAATGATGAATTGGGCTAGATAAATAACAATGATGATGATGATATTTATTACCAAACTACTAGCATTATTATTTATAAATATAATAATATTAAAAACCCCCATTTAGAATTATCATTTGTATTGATCTTTATATGTATTCTAAATGTTAATATTTAAAAATAAATAATTTAAAACAAATAAAAATAAAAATAAAGAACATTTAGAATTATCATTTGTATTGATCTTTATATGTATTCCAAATGTTAATATTTAAAAATAAAAAATTTAAAACAAAAAAATTTAAAATAAAAATAAAAATAAAAATAAAAATAAAATATAATGAGCAGCAGACATAAGGTTTTTGAACAATATGATGATTTTTAAAAGAAGTTTTATTAATCATCGATTGTTAACTGTATTATATACACTATATTAATTATTTAAACTGGTGGTATAATCAGAAAGAATTGTTATGCGACAATCAAATTATTATTATTTATATAATCTATTTTCAAGAGCCTTTATCTTTTGGATTATCAATGGAACGATAATACGGGATGGTAGGACTTTTTTTACTAATAATAAGAGATATATAAAAAGAGACGAGGGTGTTTAATTATCCCATAGATTCTATATGATTATCGTAATGATAATTACTAGTATTCTTTATTTTATTTTATGTTGATAAATATGTGAATGCATATCACATTTATATATATTTTTTTATAAACCTAATTCTTCTTTTGTTAACACTCCCAATTCTTCTTTGATATGTTTTAATTCATCTAAATATTCATTATATTTACTCTCACTCCCAAGTCTTTGTTTTAATCCTTCAAAAATTCTGACAGCAATTGAATAATTATTTATACGTCTGGTTGCTTTAAGAGATGCCCGAATTATCTCAGGTGAAGGAACTAGATCATGCGAAAAACAATTATCAAGGCCTTCTTGTAATTCAAATCGATCATCAACTCTCTCAAAAAATCTAATATAACGTTCGCTGAATGCCTCAAAAGATTCATCTTCACGAATGCTGGAATAAAATCTAATTCCTTTTTTTAAAAACAAATAAACACACCCACATTATATATATCAATGCATTAATTATATAATAATATATAAATGATTAAACTCTACAAACTGTTTCATAAATTAATTACCTTTACTCACAGAAGCTTGCCCAAAAGATTTAGAACATAAAGGATAGCTAATTCTGATGTTGCCAAAAAGGGGTTTTGTAATAACCTGTGTGAAGTTGTTAAGACGATTCATTTACTAATTTGAAGAAGATTTAAAAATAATCCATAATTTAATCAAATTTTTTTTTTAAAAATATAATTTCAACTATAATTAAACCTACAATTATTATTAATATTATCTCAAAGTGACACACACACAATGAATTCACAATTTAATTGTTTTGGTAATGATCTCATTTAGTTTAAGCTTTATGCATTATTGATCTTTGTTTCATAGTATTTTTATTATAATAACTTTCTATTTTTTGTCTTTGACTAATGATATTTATATTTATTTCTCCACCATCTATTGTTATTAGCTGAGCCATTAGAAGATATCTTGTTCTGATTTAAAAAGAGATTGAAATGCTTCATACAATCCAGAAAATCTTTTCTTTTGGAACTCTGGTGGAGGGAGCAGCCACAACTCTAACCTACTTCAAAAAATGTATTGCTTTTTCATATTCATTAAATTTGCAATTCCTCATATACATGTATACATGTAATAATCCTTTATATAAATTTTATCATTTTGTAGAGGATTTATTTAAATTAAATAAACCAAGATTCTGTCAAAAATTATCCATTGGTTCCAAAGTATAAAGTTGTTAATATTTTAATTTTGATTGAATCACAATATTTATTTAGCATTTTGACAATTATGATCTTTTATTATTTATAATAGCATTATATAAAAATTATTGTTATGTCTACAACTACAACACTATTGTTTTCTCCCCTACTCTTATTTCTCAAGGGAAATTTAATTCATTTTGGAGCTTAGTTCAAAGCTTCTTTTCCCGTCCAAGTTCCTTCTCTTTATTATTAGTGTAAACAAATCATGTGATCAGAGCCTTCATTTTGACCAATCAAAATGATGATCATGATACATATCAAAAATTTGCTCGTTTGTTTGCCTTTTTACGAGCAAATAAAGTGCTTGACTCTTTTACCCATTCCTAGTTTGAGGACTGAACCAAAGCTTATGGGCTCGTGATTTGAGCTCAGGATGTATATCAGAAAAAGATATACAGTAAATGATCAACGAATATTTGAATACGTAATGATCCGCAGACACACAGTAATTTATAGATCTCTTTTTTTACATAAAAAATAAAATGAAGGTTAGAATGAAAAAATCTTTTTCTGGCGTGCGAAAATGACATTAATGAAATTAATTGAACAATCATCTTTTAATATTACGATTTGATATTAGCAAGTTGATAAAAAAGCTTTAGAGGGTGATGCTTTAGTATTATCTGGTATGGGTTATTATTTCGCAAATGCTGAATCTAAATCAATGATGCGCTAAAATTGATAATGCATTTTTTTTTTTATTATATTAATACAGATCACAAACAAAATTTCCTACTTCTTGAAAGAGCGGTATCAACCATTGAATCACGTTATACTACACGTGTTCTTAGAACCACTGCATCGATTCGTAAACGTTTAAATGCAGATAATTTAGCACAAATCATTAAAGATGCTTATCCAAAAGGTTGGTTTACAATGCCATATCAACATTAAACAGCGTTATATAGTATCACGCATACAGATTAGTCAAACAAATAAAATAATTTGAATTTTAAAAAAAAAAATTAAAAAAAAAAATAGATTCTGTTGATAAAAGTAGACTTTTAGGTTATTTGGGAAATGTTTGTTGTTATTTTGTTTGATTTTCTCAACGTTAATTTGTTATTATATTTGAAATATTCTAACCATGCATGCATTTTATTTTATTAGGAGTCTGGAATTATGGAGGTTGATGTGGATGATGGAGTTAATTGTGGTAGTCAAGGACACATTATACCTGAAGTTGACCTTTATCTTCATTTGATGATGATGATATATTTATTGGATAAAAAAGATTTCGAAAAGGTGAATTTAGCATCCTTCTTATCTCCTAAACATATTATTCATATTAAATTGCTATTACCATTCATTATTAGGGTATTCAATTGTCTAATGAAACACTCCTAAAGATCCAAAAATTAAATCGACGTACTTTAGATCAATTGTCTGCTCGTATTTATTTTTATTATGCAAGATTTTATGAGTTAACAGGAAATTTGAGAGAAATAAGACCGTACATATTATATTTAATTTGCAATTATTATTATTATTATTTTTTTTTTTTGAGTTAATCATAAAATGTATTCTTTTTAATTATTATTTAGAGTTTTGTTAGCAGCTCATAGAACAGCTACATTGCGACATGATGATGATACTCAGGTAAGATGCTGCTAATTGAATATTTATTTGAATCAATTAATAACTTAAACTAATTTATTACCATTTATAGGCCACATTACTCAATCTTTTATTGAGAAATTATTTCCACTATAATCTTTATGATCAGGCCGACAAACTTGTCACTAAAACCACTTTTCCAGAATCATCTGCTAATAATCAGCAGGCCCGATATATGTATTACTTGGGTTGGTTATTGAATGGCGAAAAAAAAAAATTTATTTTTTAAAATAAAGTTGTATGCCTAATTTCCTTTTTTTTAATATATATATAAAAAAAAGGACTTATCAAGGCCATTCAGCTTGATTATACAGCTTCACACACTCATTTACTGCAAGCAATTCGTAAAGCACCTCAAAATGATGCTACAGCTGGCTTTCAACAAACAGTAATCTACATATTGCATATTTATTATACATTTTATTTATTCAATTTATTTTTTAAAATATAATATTTTTCCCCCCTTAATCCAGGTTTATAAATTATCAATTATTGTACAACTACTTATGGGAGAGATTCCTGAACGAACTTTATTTAGACAACCCGTATTAAAGAAACCATTGGTTCCATATTTAAAGCTTGTTCAAGGTAATGCTTATATTCTCTAATAAAATATGATATTTAGCAATATTAATTATTTATGATTATTATATCATAGCTGTAAGAATTGGTGATTTATCAAAATTTCAAGAAGCCTTGGCAAAATATGCTGAAGTTTTTCGTAAAGACAAAAACTACACATTGATTTTAAGGTTCGTTTATTGCTCAGTTTTGATCTATATGCTAACATACATACATAAATACACACACATAATTTTCTAATTTGAAATATTATTATTATTTAATGGTGATGGTCAGACTTCGACATAATGTAATAAAAACAGGAATTAGAATGATTAGTTTATCATACTCGCGAATATCTTTACGTGATATTTGTTTCAAATTACATCTTGACAGTGAGGAAGATGCTGAATATATTGTTGCAAAAGTAAGATGATAAATATTTTTTTTTGTAAAAGTATAACTTCATTTTATTTACAATAAATGAAATCCTTTTGTTTTTGGAGTGTTTAGGCTATTCGTGATGGCGTGATTGATGCTACTTTAGATCATGAAAAAGGATTTATGAAATCAAAGGTGTGTGTTATATTTATATATATTTGTTGATTATTTATAGTTGATTAAAAATTATTTATAAAAATTAGGAAAATGCAGATATTTATTCAACCAATGAACCACAAATTGCTTTTCATCAACGTATTAGTTTTTGCTTAAATCTTCATAATGAATCGGTCAAGGTATTCTCTCGTGTTCATATATTAAAAATTAAAAATTAAAAATGAAAAATATTTAATATTAATGATAATAATTGTTACTAATAGGCAATGAGATTTCCACTCAATGCGCACCGTAAAGAATTGGATTCTGCTGAAGCTCTTCGCGAACGAGAAAGAGAACTTGCCAAAGAAATTGCAGAAGGAGATATGGATGATGATGATGATGTTAATGAATTTTAATAATCATCAAAGTATAAAAACAATGTAGAGATATTCCCAATGCTGTTGCTGATGTCAGATGATATTAATTGGTTTTCTTCTTGACGATGGATGATGTTGTTTGTTGTTGTTATTGATGATGGTGGTGATAATAATGTTGATTGTTATATTTTTATATAATTTATTTTCTTTTTTTTTTCATTCAAATAAATAATAAATAATAAATATTTAAATATTAATATATAATTTCTACATATATAGTTTTTTGATAAACAAAAAATAATATGTTGAGTTAGTGAGTCAATAAATATTAAACTGGTTGTTTAAACTAATTTGACAAGCACAACTTTTTAAATTCCATGGCAATCTTATCATTAGAAACCTAATATTATATATACAGAACAAACAATTGAAGAGCTTCAAGTAATTCAATCGATTCTAAATGTCTGAATGTTAATGATTTATATATTGTAATCTGAATCCATTAATAATATTAATCAGTCCAAGGAAAAAGTAAATGCCTATTTTTGTATTTTCTAGTAATAACAAAACTTTATCCCAACTCATATTATTAGCCGTGTAATTTTTTTTTAAAAAAAGAATCACCGATTAAAAAAAAAATAAAGAATATGGAAGGTGCAAATATAATACCAATTACTCATGGCGTCAATCATGTGGTTCAGATAATACATTAGATGAAAAATCAAACAGTGTGGATGAATGTTATAATTATCTCTTCAATGGATTGTCTATGAAGATTTTAAAAATATTGCATTATATATATATACACAGTGCCGCTTGATTTTAATATACTGATCATAAAAAGAGAAACAAGATGTTGTAGAGATAGAATTGTGACATTAATATTCTGATGGTTTATTAATGAAGGTAATTTTTTATCATGATCATTACTGTTGATTTTTTACATTTATACTGAAATTAAATGGTCTAGTTTACTTTAGTTTAAGAACCACTATGTCAGCAAGATTATATAATCAAATTTACGGGTACAATTACATAGAGATCTATTTTAAAGCCGAAGATCTTTATCAAAAAAATTTTAAAGATAAAAATATAATTCTTTTGGTAATATAATTTGATGGTTTGAAGGAAATTCATGAGAAAAAAATATTAATACATTTGGTTTCAAAGACAACATAGATTTTTCATTTCACGTTTTAAAATTTCACATCAATATATTGTAGGTATGTAGGATTATCAATACCGGCAAATCAAACATTTTCAAATAACACATACAAAGTATTGAAAGTATTGTCACATACAGTACCTGGTGTCTTAACAGGCAAAGCATACGCAATGATGATCAATAGGTCGACAACCTTTCAGTAATAGTAATATGATGACGCATGGTACGAATCTTTGCAATAAAAGTATGTGAATAAGTAAGACCTAATTTTTCAAATAAAGTTCCGGGCTTTTACGTTGAATTGGCGTATAATTGTATAATGCTAAAGAAATTTATTATATTTTACATTTTAGGAACCTATATACTGATGAACAAACAGCTTGATGAATTTAAGATTAATTAGAAAATAATTTAAAGAAATGGATAAAGATGAAAATCGATCCATCCAAACATACTATTTATACCAGTAGACTTTTAAAACTTACAATCAAATTTACAATCATTAACATATTGATACCAATTATTTATTAATTTTAAAAGTTATTATTAACATACAATTGTATTTATAAATAAGTAAATAAATATAATATTTATAGATTCTCGACAGGTAATTAATAATTAATACTTGTAATTAGAATAAAATTTTTTTTGAAGACGAATTTTGAGTTTTTCTGCTCGAGTTGAGACGCCGAAATATATATAGGGAGGGGCAAGGTTCACTAATGCATTACCATCATAGATAGAAACATCTAATGAGGTCAGATCTTGATTTGAGCCTTTTCTGGCTAAAATCAGGTTGTCGTGAGGAGGGATAATTTATTTGTATTTTGTTTAAAAACCTTTGCGTAGATAAAGCTATTAGCAAAAAACCCAAAAGCCACCTACCTCTACATGTATATTTCGGCCCTCTCTAGTTCATGGAATTTATCTAAAGTCATTTTGATTTATTTCATAATTAGCATAATGTTCATTAACCTGAACTTTGGCTAGATAGATTCCTGAACATTTGAATCAAGTTCAGAGCATAGATGACCATCCAGACAATAATAATCACTTGCTCGGCTGTGTAATTATATGAGATGTTAATCATCTTTAAAAAAATACATTGTTCGTTATCTTGATCAAAATTGAGTTCTTTGCATATTATTTATCTGCAATATAAAAAAATTAGTTTAAATTGACACATTTTGACAATGACAATGACAATGACAATTTAGATAATGGTACAAGGATTAGATTGTAATATATAGTAATATGGCGAAATCTGCAGATAATTTCCAAATTTAGTCAATATTTGTTTATTTAGAGAACAATTTCTATGGTTACAAGGCTTTTATCTGTAGGATTGTTACTAAAAATAGTTTTTGTTTTTACTAAAGGCCCAAACTAACCGTAGCAAGATGTCCCAACAATCATTTATTTGTGGAGATCTAACCCAAATATATTTAGCGGAAAATCTAAAAAGTCTTTGTTAGAAAAAAAAAACTAAAACATGCATGAACTGTAACCAAATAAATTCTATTCTTTGTATATACATACGCTCCCGTAAATTTACTTTTTTTTAAAAAATTTTTTTTTTCATTATTTCAATTCTAGGTACTAATTTGACTGCATAACGATTATGTGATTACACCAGCCAAAGTCAAACCAATCTATCATAAATTTATATATTTCGCATAATTGAGATTTTTGAGAAATTTGATTAGCTGAATTTGTGCAGATCTTTTATTATATGGGAGATCAACGAACCCTAAACTTGTAGTTGCCATTATGCAAAGGAATTCATTTTAGCTTAGCAACATACCTACAATTATTGAATAAAACTCTGCTTTATAAATGCAAAAGCAATATGTGAAGTTGAGATGCAAATCATTTTTCTGATTTTCCCTGAACAAAAAATTTGACCGTTATTTAAAGCAATTCAATAGAAGTTTCCGAATACAATTTATTCTTTCCATAACGGCCTTTTCTATAATGGGTTTCACTCTATAACGGACTGAGAATTTGGGCCAAATTAAAATTATCTCATATGTCTCATATACTGTCTATAATAATGATGGTCTTTTTCTATAACAAAAAAATTTTTTTTTACTGACGTTACGGAGGGTCATCAGGAAAATAAATCTCACGTAAACCTACGTAGGGTTTAAACTGACCAGCATTATGCGGAAATGTTAACAGAATTACCAAAATATCGACATAATGCTGGTCAATTCTGAACCCTATGTAGGTTTACGTAGGATTTATTTTCCTGATGCGTGGTTACTCCAAGTGGCATACCTGGGCATGAAAAGTTTGGTGAATTGTAATTCCACTATTGAATTTTTTACCATTATAAATAATAATAATATGCATAAAGACATAATGATTACACTGTGATGTTTATTATCATTAGTCATGAACGAGTTTGTCTCTTTTGAACTTTTCATTAAATGGTGGAGTAGTTATTACGTGCAGGGACGGAAAAATTAGAAAAAATCCACCTTTTAATTGGGACTTGATCAATTTATCAATTTGCTAACGTAATCAACATTGCATGACTGTCATACAATAATTATATTAAACTTGAAATTTGGGGATTACATATTAAATAAATAAATCGTTAATTCTTTAGAACTAATGATAAATAACCAATGCATTTTTTCTTTATCTATATAATTATATAATTGCAAAAAAGTTAATATTAAAAAAAATTAATGTATACATTTCATAATTTCCACTGGTATTACATAACTTCCAGGATGTTCATATTTCCGTAGTAGTAGTAGACATTTTACAACATGCCATAGTTTTCGCAAACCCCCACAGACATATCATAGTCTAAGATTTAATATGCAATAATCGAGAATTCGCAATGCAAAGATTAAAACAATAAAATAGATAAGATAATATTTGTTGTTCATTTCACTATTAATCACATACAAGTTATTAAGTAATAAACAAAACATTAACTAACAAATAAAGGGGGGGGGTTTTTTTTTTAGTAAATAGTCCGTGTGCTCGTTTCCAATTGTTCACACAGTATAAGTGACTAATATCGTATCGGATAACACCCCTTTGATTTGTTGTAACCCAGTGGATATTATTTACTCGAGTTCTCTTTACCCTGTTACCAATTAGATTCAGAACTTTAATTTTTTATTTCTTTTATTTAATAAATCCGTGTCTAAAAATAAATAAATTCAATAATTGATTGATTGATATTGATTAGCCAATTGGTCAATTGATTAGCTATGGTCTAGAATGCTCAACAAAGTGGATGTATTTATTGCACAATCAAACTTTAAATTGACGTCGTGCAATTAAACCAAATTAGTAACAGTCAATATATTAATATTTTTAAAAAAACAATGATTTATATTTAAACGTTAATCAGGAGAGCACAATAACAGATTTGGTTTTTATTAAATTATATAATCTATTGAACGTGGGAGAATAATAAATTAATTAAATTGCTCTTGAATAATTTTCACTGGCACGAAGTTCTCAATGGACAAGCGAGAGTTGAGATTAGGAAAGAGATATCTTTATTCGTTTCGAAAAAAAGTCAATTTTACTTTTTAGATTTTTTGATTTTGAATTTTGATTAAAAGAACGAATTGATGTTTTTAGATTAAAAAAAACCTGAAATTGCTTAATTAGATTTTTGAATGACTTTTTGAATTTAATTAATATACAAAACAGATAATTTATATAAATAAAACATCAAAACAACGATTTGCACTGTTTTGTTATGCAAATTTGATCACTGGTTTTATTTGTTTATTTTCTGTTACATTTTTGCCCATTCTATATTTTCGTTCTATTTTTTTATTGTTATACTTGATTCTAGACTTTCTGATTGATTATGAAATCTCAACTTGTTGTAACCCAGTTTATAACCGCATTTACTAGGTTTCCATTGGAGACATTTGTTATGGTACATACAAGCATATA